GTAGAGTGAATAAACTTCACTCGTCAATAACTCCATAATGGCAGAGTGAAATTCCCTGATTTTTTTTTCACTCTCGATTAATTTTCTAAAGATTCAAATTGATACTTGAGTATCAATTGATTCATTCACATCGTTCCATTCCATCGGGAGATATTGTCGATTGGAGACAATTTTTTATGGTCACTGAAGAAGGCAAACCATTCATTTAAATCTCGCAATAATCTGCGAAAAGTCTCATTCGTTAATTTATTATTATTGATTTAATCCCATTATGTGTATGAGATTTGTTGAGATATAATCTCTCACAAATATTGAATATATTTCTCATCAAAATAATTCGAAATTCATTCATTACCTTTGTATCACTGACAAAATATGTAATAAATGTGAATAAGATGAATTGCTCGTATTTATTTTTTTTATTACAGATCTAGTTATATAGAAATTCAAATAAATGATCCTGTTTCGCTCAAGACTTCATAATTCCTTCTCTCCCTCTCCTTTATGATCAGCTAATTTATAAATTAAGTCAATAAAAAGTTGTATGAACGAAAATGGGATAATCAAGCAAATGAGTGAATGCAAAGGAGGTTTCATGTTGGATTTACGATTGGGAACGCTTCCCTGTTATCGACTGTTTCCATGGTAATAGATGAAAATTTCGTTACCCACAGAGCCGGCCTCTCGATTAGTTCATGTGCGCCACCGCTATGAAATTCTGATTGAACAGTTCCCATAAGCCTGAGCAATCTCCCCTATTATCTCTCGTCCTGAACTCCAGAATTGTGGAATCGCCCATTTCAACAAGTTGGGTTAAACCCAGAGGTACCTAGTCGCCTCCGATTTGACGCAGTGGCCTCTCAGAGAAGAGGCGAGTAGGATAGCCACATGTAGTGTATATGGAGGCGTATATGTACGCTGTGCATATATATATATATATATATCCCATATGCATATATATATATATATATATATATATATATATATATATATATCCCCGCGCAGTGGTTCTCTGAGAGAGGCAGAGTTCGGGGATGAAAACGGTGAAATGGGGTGAAACACAAAAACTATAGGACACAGCTAAACAATGAAGGAATTATTTGTAGCAAAAATTATAAATAAAAATTTGAAAAAAGAAAGATAAACATTTGACCAATATTTCATGATATATCGCTGCTCGACATGGATATTTTCACCCCTATTGCCTATATATATATTTTTTCTTCTTATGAAAATACTCAATAACTATTTAAGTGTATTGGAACAAGGAAAAAATTGAAAAAATAATTTTTTCGATTTTTTTCTTTTCTTAACCGTTTACAGTGCTGTAGGGGATGAACCGTAGGGGGTGGAGGCAAAGTGCATAGGACATTTTTTGTAGAGAATTTTATCTTCTATACTTTTTATTTGACACTTTTTCCGATGTCTTCCGTCGTTTTCGAGCTATTCTCG